TTTTGTGCCTCTTTTCAGGTTTCAGAGATAAAGATCTAAAAATTATTATTTTCTTAAGAATCAACAACAAGTGGGACACAATTGTGAGGTGGAACGAAATTTATTGGATATTTTAAACTTTTTAACAAATAAAAAATTGCAAAGTGGGGTGTGCAATATTATTCAGTCCCTTTACTTTCAGTGTAGCAAACTCACTCCGGAAATTCAGTGAGGATCTCTGAATGATCCAATGTTGTCCTAAAAATGACTGATGATGATAAATAGAATCCAGTATAGTATAGTCCCCATATTGATGCACCTACTCTGTGATAGTCTCAGGGTTGTGTTTAAAGCGCAGGGAGCATCATGAAGACCAAGGAACACACCAGACAGATCCGAGATACTGTTTTGGAGAAGTTTAAAGCCGGATTTGGATACAAAATATTTCCCAAGCTTTAAACATCTTAAGGAGCACTGTGAAAACGAACATATTGAAATGGAAGGAGTATCAGACCACTGCAAATCTACCAAAACCTGGCCGTCCCTCTAAACCAGGGGTGGGCAATCCTGGTCCTGGAGGGCCGGTGTCCTGCAACTCTTAGATGTCTCCCTGGTCCAACACACTTGAATCCAACAGCTGAATCACCTCCCAAGTGCAGACAAGTTCTCCAGAGTCCAGATAATGACCTCATTATTTGACTCAGGTTTGTTGAAGTTGAAACACATCTGAAAGTTGCAGGAGACCGGCCCTCGAGGCCTGGAGTTGCCCACCTCTGCTCTAAATGTTCATCTCGAACAAGGAGAAGACTGATCAGAGATGCAGCCAAGAGGCCCAGGATCACTCTGGATGAACTGCAGAGATCTACAGCTGAGGTGGGAGTCTGTCCGTAGGACAACAATCAGTCGTACAGTGTATGTGCAGAGTCAAGTATTACTATTTTTTTAATTATGAAAATAAGCAATATATTCTAAGTATCACTGAGAATCTTGCACAATACTGAAGACTTTCTTGAATTTCTCTTTCCATATAGTTTCTAAAAAAATTGAAAATACATGCTAAAATAAAAAAAGCCTCTTAAGTCTTGTAATAAACTCTTAATAACAAGTGTTGGTCTTATTCTGTAATTTAGTAATTTTTCTTTCTAAATAAATAGTTTCCAATATGGAGAACTCTTGGGAAATTCACCTTCGCAAATATCAAGTTTACATTCAAAGATCTGTTTTTAAAGTTTAGAAAGCACATATAATGATAAATGTGTTTCCCCCAAGTCCTTCTACATTAGAAACATGCCATGTGGAGAAGCAGGTTGCCTGGACTTACATGTGTTTAAAATATTTAATTCCTTGAAGACAACAGTGTGCTCCAAAAAACAAAACAAAACTGTAAGACCTGTGAAAGACGAGCCAACACTGCAGAGTTCCACAGAAACACAGAGCTCCAATGTAACGTCCTGAGACTTGCAGCTGTAATTACAGAGAAATGTGATCTGGATGCAAAGGCATGCCACACTTTTCAGATTTTAACATGGAAAAACTTTTTAAAAAGTTATTTTCTTTAACTTTATTATTGTCCACCATTTTGTGTTGAAATCATACATTTAATTCTGTGGTGGTAACTTAACAAAAATACAACAAAGTTCCAAGGCTGCACAGTAAAATGCCAGTGCTGAATTAACACCCAGAGGTGTTTATATTGGTCTGTGGATCTCTGGGTGGACGTGCAGAGATCCGAACAATTCGTCCCATAAAGCTCGGGCAACCAAAGCAGTCTCTCTGGCGCTTATTAAAAATTCAGCAGACATTAAATGGAAGAGCTACTAAAGCCACATAAATTAAATCTCCCATTTGTCCCTTTACATCCAGCAGCAGAGATGCGTAGGCGGGTCTCGCTCATCAGGACGTCCAGTGTTGAATGAGACCTTGAGCAGAATTTGATTTAGGGAACCCTCTAGCTGATAAGAACATGAGCACCACTAACAGCATTTCACCATAGACTTAGTGAAATCTGGGGGAGGGGACCTAGTTTAATTGGCCGAGCAGTCAGCTATAATTATAGTTTACTAAGATGCATTTGTGAACAAACAGAGCAGACAGCATTAGCTTGTGGTTGTGCTAACAAAACAATCCAACTATAAATATAGTTCTTTGAACTCTTACAAAGTAAACTTGCCAGCTCCTTAAAACCTTAAATTTAAGTGTCAAACAATTTAAAAATTTGTATCTATGCTGAAGCCATTAAATCAAATTTAACTGCATTGATATTCTCTTATTTCATTTATGCCTTGGGACAGTTCTAAATGTGATCAGCATTACATTGTGTTCTGAAATCAACAAACTGATGACTTAATTTGGATTTAACAGAATCGCAAATAACTGATATATTTTTTAAATTGTGTATTTTTTATTTGTTGTTTTTTAGATTCTATAGTTTTGGGTTTACGTATTGTCAGCAATGTCTTCCAGTAACAATTACACAGTAATACCTTACATTTCCTGTCAACATCTACAAAACCCCAGTGGACAGCCTTGGTGCCCCAAGCCTAGCAAGTTTTCTGAAGGAAACCTTGCACATGCCATGCAATGTTGCAGTTTCTCACATTCAGTTGTGTGTATGTTGGAAGGACTGTACAAATTAGTTGTATCTTGGTCAGATCAGGAATTGCTGCATATTTGTTGACTCATCATTGATGATACAAATCTTCCATGTCACAACATCCCAAAACTGCTTTAAAGGACTGAGATTTACTGATTTGGAGTGTTACGGGCCCCCTCAAAGGCCATAAAGAAGAATGAGTGGATACAACACCAGTAACCATTTGAAGTACTTTTGAGGCCTTTATTTTTAAAACACAAGCCTAGAGGATGTGGACAGAAGCCCAGGCATGTTGGCATATGCCCGGGAACCGCTGAACTGACATGTGCACGCCTCCTTCTGGCCCTCTGTCATGCACAGTTCTCCTTCAAGCATGGACCCATCAATCCCTTCAGGTGTAGGCGACTGCTCCAAGGTGTGGACCTCCTTCAAGTGTGGGTGAGTGGCTCCTCTCCAAGTATTGAGCCAGAACATCCTACAGCAGTGCATCTGGCTCAAATCTCCACTTGTCTCACACGTTGGCCATGTGGAACGGAAGCCCCTCGTCCAAATAGACCAAAGTCCCCATCTGACCTTAGGAGCCTCCCATTCTGGTACCTTAATGGAAACACAGACAGCAGTCACAGGAAGACAATGGAGTACAGAGTACAGAATTCATTGACATTTTTATCAGTGAGGAAGATAACTGAATTTTTATAGGGAGAAACTTCCTGCAAAACCGGACTTGGGATAACGACCTGTCTCCTAGAAACACCTGATCGCTTTGGTCGTCCTTCATTGAAAACCTTGAATCGCTCTTAGTCTGATCCCTCCCCAGTGGCAACCTGTCCTGGGAAGCCTCACTACTGGCTGAAGCCCAAGACAAAATCTCCATCTGGGTCATTGGGATACTCAAACCCCTCCACCACGTTAAGGTGGCGATTCTGCGGAGGGGTCACCAGCAGATCGCGATGGATGTTTAATCCAAGGGATCCCCCATCCTGAGCAAGCACAAGGCAACAGTGGAGAGGAAAACTCCCTTTAAAAGGAGAAACCTCCAGCAGAACCAGGCTCAGGATGAGCAGCCATCTGCCGAGGCTGGCTGGCTTCAAGAGGGCAAAAATAAAAAAACAAACACAATCATGTCAGCAAACCTCTGAAAGAAGAAAGACAGATTTAGTTACAATATTAGTTGTACACACTCACAAATGAGAATTTGGACAGACCAAATAAACCTAACAGTGATGGTTTTACTGTGGGAGGAAGCCGGAGCATCCGGAGAGAACCCACGCATGTGAACCTATCTGTAAACCTTTTTACTGCAAAGGCAACAGCTCTACCAACTGCGCCATTATACAACTCCTTCAGACAATCTAAGGAGGATATGGACAAACTAATTAACCTGAAAGTTATTGTTTTACTGTGGGAGGAAGCCGGAGCACCCGGAGAGAACCCACGCATGCCACTTTTACTATCTGTGAACCTTTTTACTGCAAGGCAACAGCTCTACCAACTGCGCCATTGTACAGCTCCTTAGGACAATCTAAAGAGAATATAGACAGACCAATTAACCGGAAAGTCATTGTTTTTCTGTGGGAGGAAGCCGGAGCACCCGGAGAGAACCCACGCATGCCACTTTTACTATCTGTGAATCTCTTTTCTGCAAGGCTTTCCTCCGTGTTATTATTCATAGAGCTAGTTCCCCATGTACTTTGATATGATAAAGGCAGGTGTATTCTGGATTACCCCAGTTACTATTTACCTTTAGAGTTACAAAGTCATAGGAACCAACGTTCTCATCCTGTAAGCCAAGAGAGATACAAATTAGGGTGGTTAGATTGATAATCCATAGTTTCAAATAGACAAACAATAGAAACAAAGGAGATTTGTCTTAAAGTGCATGGAAGCCTAGTTAATCTGGCCTTGCTGTAAATATATTTTTTGCATAGTTTTTCTCAAGATAGCAAGGCAATTATACTGATATTTTGCTAACCAGAAAACAAAATGTTATGGTGTAACACTGTGATTTTATTCTTTGTTATCAAGAGACAACAAAACTTATTGTTTTGTGATAAGTGTTGTGACTTTTTAACACATATATGTTAAGTACAATTTGCATTATAAGTGACTTATTTACAATTGTATGTTAAGCATAATTTACATTACTATTAACTATTATTAACTGAATTTAACATGATTGTATATAATTGCAAAAGCTGAAGTGAAACATTTAAGTGCGAGGCATGATTTATTTGGATAGGGAGGACGCCTTTTATTTTGAAGAATGCTTAACAGGATCTGGTTCCGTATTTTGTCACTGTCTTGCTTCTGTTGATTTTGGTTGCTAGGTAACGAACAACTGTTGCTGTTTCTCCTCAATAAAAAGTGAACAGAAATGTTCAGTAAAAGAAATCAGAGTCTCTGTCCTGATTGAAGAAGCTTCCACTCCGTAACAATAAGAGGTTCACTTTTTTGTTGTCAAGACACAATAAAAGTCTTATTAATGAGATTTATGCCAAGAAAAAAAATATTTTCCTCCTTAAACGATGGTCAGAAAAACAAAACAAAACAAAACAGTTTCTTGCATCTGTTCAAGTTAATCTCTCTCTGTTTTGGAATAATTAGGGTTCAATAACAAAACTTTCTGTGGCTGCATATGCAGGTGGGACATGGTGCTGCATTTAGGCACTCTGTCTAGTCTAGTGTTTTTCCAACCACTGTGACGAGGAACACTAGTGTACCATGAGTGATCGTCAAGTGTGCCGTGGAAATTATCCAATTTCACCTACCATATTTTCCGGACTATAAACTGCTACTTTTTTCCTACATTTTGAACATGCGGCTTTTCTATGGATTTTTCTTCAACCACCAGGGGGCTCTTTAGCAGGAAGTGAATCATTGGAAGTCAAAATAGGAAATCAAAGAAGAACGCGCTAATTTTCATTTAGAACAAGCACATGCTAGCAGCAGGCACGACGGAGAAATGTTTTCAAACTCATATGATGCAGCTTCTAAGTTGAGGAGTATCGATCTGGCAGTACAGGAGGGAAATAAAGACACTACACGTAAACTCGGCGTGAACAAAACCGGATATGGAGACAGAGAACTGAGTCCTTAATATATTCAGCAGTTATTAGAATGCAGCCCTCTGCTGCCCTCTGCTGGTCCTTATGGGAAACCGAGAGCAACAGAGATACCAGCGGCCTTGTAGCCCGGTGCGGCTGATATATGTAAGTTTCCAGGGGGGAGGAGGTTCAAAAAATTTGAAGGTACTATAGTATGGTGCACTCATAGTCCGGAAAATACGGTAATTGGTCTTAAAAGATTTTTTGAAAACGTATTAATTATCTGCACATAATGCCATCTTTGAGTGTCTCTGATGTAGTAGTGACTAGCGGTGTAATTTTGTAATGTAATTACAAAATTGTAATTTTATTATCACTAGAATGGTAGTAGGTACAACCCCGCCTCTTGCCAGGAACGTTAGCTGGAGATAGGCACCAGCAACCCTCCCGATCCCACTAAGGGACAAGGGTGTAAAGAAAATGGATGGATGGATGGTAGTAGGTACCTAGCATTTTACATTAAAACAAGAGAATTAGTGATTAAAACAAGAGAATTAGTGATACATGAATGTTACTACATTCATGTATCACACACGACAGTGTTGTGGGACTGTTCAGGTGTATTTTTGAAGTGGACATGTTAAGTGCAATTTGAAATAAGAAATGTAAAATATGATCAAAATAATTTTTTGTGTTTATTTGATTCCTATTCAAGACACTTTGATAAGAATGACTATATATGTAATATAGGCAGCTACAGAGTATCTTTGTTTACATTTTTAGTTGGTGGTG